GAGAGAGAGAGAGAGAGAGAGAGAGAGAGAGAGAGAGAGAAGACTAATCTCACCTGCAGAGGCAGCTCGCACTGTGTTGGGGTTGATGATAAGCACAAAGGTGGCGTTTTACCAGAGTTAGTGCTGACACATGATTGCAGGTTAAGTTCTCTCAGAGGAGTTCTTAATGTTGTTTTCCCCTGAAAATGAAAGAAGACAACAAGTGTGAGAAATCTGGGTTTTGCTAGCTAGCTGGCGCTCCCGCAGTAATACCCATCTTGGGAGAAGTGGCAGGAGGAACAGACCAGAAGCGCCCTCCAGCTTTCACAAAGACACAAAGCACTGCCAGCGTCCTAGCCTCAGGCCACTTCTCCCCGAGAGCCTCTCGCGCTCACCGGCTGGGGCGAAGCTGACGCTCTGAAGTTCGGCTCTTTCACCTGCCACATTTCTGGAGGAGTATTGAAGTCGATCATTCCCCAGTCCCAGGACATAAGGCCATGTTCACCCGCCGTCTTTATTTGAACGTGGTGCTCGTTTCTCGATTGGCTGCGGCAGGACGTACGTCAGGGCGGTGCGTCGGTTCCAGGAGGGTGGTGGGCGGGGCCTCTGTTATTGGCCACGCCTCTCCCCGGGGCTGCCAGCCATTCGCTCTGGGCTTCCGCCCCGCGACAGGAAGGCGTTTTGGTAGGTAGAGTCGTAATAGTTGTCTTGGTAGTCTAGCCTTAGGACGTCTCTTCTCGGGTCTCCGTTATGTCCCACCTCAGTCTTACTTCTTTTTTAAAATACACTTTTCACAGCTCAGCCTCGGCCAGACAGAGCTAACTGCCGAGTCTGGAAAGGAGATGTTAATGAAGGAGTGCGGTTTATTGGGGTTTGGTCAGTCCACATTATAGGTCCCTGACAACCAGAGTGTATATATAGTCTTGAACTCTTTCTAGATTTCTAAATGTCTTGCCAGGATTTCTCGTATTTTCTAGGGACCTATCTCAGGCCTGCAGAGTTTACTTGGGGTAAGAGTTAATATGTTTTGAAGACTTAGTCGCCTGACACATTTCCAGATTCTCATGAGGATTAGGGGGATCTGGTGGCCTGGTCTATAGAGAGTTCTACTGTTAACCAAAAGGCAATGTGTTTCTCTGACGGTTCAAAACCACCAGCGACTCCGCGGGAGAAATACGGGAAGTTTATCCAAAAACCCACTGGAGGGGCAGCTATAAGTTGGTTACCACTTGACCACAATAAGGACTGGTTGGTTGTGTGTTTTTTTCATTTTATGTATGTTAATTAGTTTAACTTTGATAATGATCCATAAAGTTGTTAGCTACAGTGAAGTTGAGATTCCCTATGCAAAACCAAACAAAATACCATCCAGACAGACCTGCACTATCTTCCTATGTACATTGATCACGGCCAACTGGACCATTTTCTAAGGTCTTTAACTAGCAAGTTTTTGGAAATAGATCGATCATCAGGCAAAGAGATCTTTGAAAGCTTTGCTGGAACCTATTCGGCATCATAGCAACAGCTACACATCAACTGACACAAGAGTGGTGGCTGCTTGGAAATTTAATCATGACTCTGCATAGAAAGGAGGTGAGAATGCCATCAGTGAACCACCACTGCCCACTTACAAAGTTTTTGTTCTCTGGTGCCCTAAAGTTGACAGTAACTCATAGATCTGAACCTGCCCTGTCCTGAGCCATCCTCACCATCTCTGATACGTTTGAGCCCACAGTTAACAGCTACGGTTTCAATCCATTTTGTTTAAGAGTTTCCTCTCTTTCTATGACCCTCCACCTTTCTTAGCGTATCTTTTGACTGGTTCCTCCTGACAACATGCAAAAAAAAAACCAAACAAACAAAAAAAAATATATATATATGAGATGGAGGGGGAAATTTTTATATATATATTTGTGTGTGTGTGTGTGTGTGTATCACCACCTCCAACACACACACACACATGTTGTTGTTGTTAATTGCCATCAAGTCATAGGTGACTCATAGCGACCCTATGAACGAAAGTCCTGGACACGTGTATAAATTTCATCCTTTCTCCAGGTTCACAGGGTTTCTGGAGGCAAGCTATTACAGAAGTAGATGCCACTCCTGCTTCCATGTTGTTTTATTTGGGGAGCTCCACCAAACACTGTCCTCCATGGGTAACTATTCTCGCATTTGACTCATCAGTGTCACAGTGTTCGGCTTCACAGCAACCATGAGTTACCTCTATACAGCAAGTGGACATACCAGGGTTACACGACCTAGAAAATGTTTTACCAAAAACAATTAAAGGCAGGTCTGAGGGCCACAGAGTAGAGTCACCCACCTATGGCTTGGGAGCATGACTTTCTGTCCGCTAGGCCAACTGCTCTCTCTTCTCTATCCTGCTGTTGTTAAGTGCCGTCGAGTCATGGGTGACTCATAGCGACCCTATGAACGAAAGTCCTGGACACCTCCTGTGTAACTTTGATCCTTTCTCCAGGTTCATAGGGTTTCCAGAAGCAAGCTATTATGGAAGTGGATACCACTCCTGCTTCCATCGTGTGTGTGTGTGTGTGTGTGTGTGTGTGTGTGTATAGTTATGTGCCAAGTCGCTTGCGACTCATAGTGACCCTATGTATAAGAGCCCTAAACCCTGCTCTATCCAGTGCCAACTTTACCATCTCCAACACACTCACTCCCACCACCCCAATCACAGAATCAATCCATCTCATCGAGGGTCTTCCTCTCCTGCGCTGTCCCTCCACTCTCCCAAACATGACGTCCCTCTTCAAGGACCGGTCCCTCCTTGCAACATGCCCAAAGTATGTCAGACGAAGCCTCAGAATCCTTGACTCCAAGGGGCAGCCCAGCTTTACCCTCTCCAGAACAAACCTGTTTATTCTCCTGGCAGTCCAACACTCTTCTCCAGCACCACAGCTCAAAGGCATCAATTCTTTCTATCATCCCTAGTCACTGTCCAACTCTCTGATACATAACACATAATTGCAAAGACTATAGCCAGATCAGGTACACCTTAGTCTCCAGCCTGACATCATTTATATATTGTTGTTGTTATGTGCTGTTGAGTCGCTTGCAACTCACAACGACCCTATGTACAACAGCCCTAAACCCTGCTCTATCCTGTGCCAATCGCACTGCCTCTGAGACACCCATCCTGATATATATATTCTTTAAACTGGTATCTCTGCTCTTTAGAAAGTCTTTGACAGATTTTATTTAAAAAAAAAACAAACCCTAAGTTCTATAAATATTGTACTTCTCCTTGATAGAAAAGAAACTTGAGTGACAGAAAGCAAATGGCAAAGCCAAGATTCTAATCTCCGTACTAACTAGCACATTCTACTGCCTCCTGACTCTCCTTTGAGTGAGAAAAACGAAGAAGATAGAATTGGTTTTCAGGAAAGGCCTAATAGAATTCAGAATTATAGCTGGGGGTTTTTTTTGTGGGGTTTTTTTTTTTTGTCATACTAGTTTATTTACAAAATTTGAATACATTGTTTTGGTGGTTTTTTTTAACCTAATCTTTTTTTTAAATAACTTTAATGAACATTTACAGAGAATTTGGATTTCCATTCATTCATTGCTGCACTTCTCTACCCACCCAGCCCTCTCCCCCCCACCCCCGAGTTCGCTCCTCTCTTTTAAAAGAAAAAGAAAGACTCCATCCCTGGTACACAATCTCCCCGCACCCTTCCCACTGCCCCAAGTACACTCCACCATGCAACCTTAATTGTGGATTCCTGTGACAACCATAATACCCTATCATATACCGCTTTTAAATTATTCAGTCCCTCATCTGTTTCACTGCAGTATACACAATTTATACAGGTTTTTCTCAGTCTTACCCCCACCCTGATATCAGTCCCATTTTACAGCAGTGGCACCATGCAATATTTGTCCTTTTGCGACTGAGATATTTCACTCAGCATAATGTCCTCCAGGCTCACCCATTTTGAATAATATTGAATGAGTTCCTTGTTTTTCAATGCAGCATAGTATTCCATTGTGTGAATATACCACAGCTTCTCTATCTATTCGTTTGTTGATGGGCACCTGGGTTGTTTCCAACTCCTTGCTATTGTGAACAGAGCTGCAATAAACATGGGTGTGCATAGAATTATAGTTTTGATAGAGTATTTGTGCATAGCTCTTTATTTATACTCTGGAAGTTTTAATGAATTTGGAAAAGGTAGTCCATGGTCGTCACAATTACATGCTGTGCATCAGAGAGCCGGACAATGACTAAGAAGAATTGTGCCTTTGAGTTGTGATGCTGGAGAAGAGTGTTGAACATATCATGAATCGCCAAGCAACAAATAGGTCAGTCTTCGAGATGGTGAAACCAAGTTTCTCCTTGCAGGCAAGGATTTCGAAGCTTCACGTACTTTGGGCACGTGGCCAGGAGGGACCATTTTCTTAGAAGTGTAGAGCGACAGTGCAGGAAAGGATGACCCCAGATGAGATGGACTGACACAATAACTGGGGCAATGGGATTAGGTATGTCAGATTCAGACTGTTTGAGGATAGGGCAGGGTTCAAATCTGTTGTACATAGGGTTGCTAGCAACAGGTAATCCAAAACTCAAAAACTCTGAGCCAGAATTGATTCATAGCTGACCCTTCTGTAAATTGCACAGGAGGGGATATTGCACATCTTTCTCCCAAGGAACTGCTAGTGAATTAAAACCATCAAAGAGGCCTGGCCTTTGAGTTAGTAGTACAACTCCTTAGGGCCTATGCCACCATTTCCTCCTAGTCATCGAAGAGGAACAGGCCCTTGGGAGAGTGGACTCTTCTAGAAGTATGCTGTCCAGTAGGGTAGCCACTAGGCACATTCAGCACTTAAAATGTGACTAGTACCAGGGCGGGGTGGGGGGTGGGGGAAAGGACAACAATAAATGAATGGAAATCCAAAGTCTCTGTAAATTTTCATTAAAATTAATAATAAAAATTTTTAAAATGTAACTAGTACAAATGGATATTGATTAGAAATATGATGTACACACTGAATTTTTAAAACTTTGTATGAAGAAAAAATGTAAAATATCTTGATTTGTATTGGTTACATGTTGAAATGGTAATATTTTAGATATCTTGGTTTAGTAAGACATTAAAATTTACTTGTTAAATATTAATACAAGCAAGTGTAAAGGGAACTCTGGGGGCATAGTGGTAAAGAGTTGCACAGCCAACCCAAAGTCATGTGGTTCAGATCCACCAGGTGCTCTGCAGAAGGGAGGGGCAGTCTCCTCCCAGGCAATTAAACCCCTCTGAAAACTTCCTGGAGGGTCAGCTATGAGTTGGTTCTGACTTAGAACTACTACTACTACTGGTAGCGTAATCTGGAGGGAGTTGTATTGCAAACCAAAGATGGTGCCTCTCAAGCAGTTTGAAGCCACCAGCAGCTCTGTGGGAGAAAGATGGACAGTCTCCTCCCATATGAC